TTCTTAAAATCGTTTGAGAAAATTTTGTAGTAAACAATTTGCCTTTTTTTACGTACGAATTGTAAAAGGGCCAAAGACCAACATCTTCACGTGCAAATTGTGTGCGTGAGTTATTTTTATAAATCTGTTTACTAGTTTACTGAATGATAACTCGAATTCCCTCACGTACGAACGACGAAAGGGGGCAAAGTCCAACACTTTCACGTGCCAGCTGTGTGACTGTACATCTCATGCAGATTGGCTTTTCACAATGATAAATAGTAACTTGGACGTATGAAGACCTGTTTCGTTTTGTAACCAATGCCTTAAAAAAGGCTCTTGTCTTTTGAGAAGCAATAGCTTTTAAAACATGAAGAAATAAGTTGTCGGAGTTAAAGACTGTTTCACTGAGTAGAATCGCACGTGAAAACCTCGTGAATTATGATGATGCAACCATCTACCACAATGATAAAAATCCTGGTATTTCGTAACTATTCAGTATTCGATGAGTCACATTTTGGCTTAAGAAACTCCGAGGAAACCTTAGAGTTTTCCTTCTAATCAACGTTTGGTGAGTAGAAATTTATTTCACTTTAACGATTTGTTTAACTTGCACCAGATGTAACAGGGAAAGACAGAGGAAAGTGAATATATAGCTTGAGGATCGACTCAGCTGAGCGTTTCGCGTTTTCATTTATGTACCGCAATACGCAATTTCGCACAAAAACCCAATCTACATTTAGGATGAAAGAGGTAGATTCATCACTCTTGGTAAGGTTACACCGAAGCATTAAAGTTACACTGAAGCATTCAAAATAGCTCATGCACGTTTAACGTGCCAATGTTCTTTACGCTAAGCTGCTAAGTAAGACGTAAGAGCTGCTAAGTTTTACTCAACCAAAAATGCATGTGTGAAGGCCCAAGTAAAATCTCAAGTAACTTTACTTTGCATCTCATTAAAGATGCAAAGTTGAAACAATTCAAGAAAGTTCCAAGTGACTTGAAAACCATCCTTGTGAGCAACTTAGCTGACTTGCAATTTATTGAGCTTTAAAAAAGGTGAAACATGTCAATCAATCTTAATTAAGTTGTGTGGAAAAATAGCCTTAAGTTAACCTGAAGAAAACAAAAATCGGTTGTGTGCGAAGCTTTATTTTACTTGAGGTAATAAAAATTTACTTGTATTGAAATACTTTTTAGCTTTTTTAGGTTCTAATGTAAAGACTACCACTATCTATCTTCTGGATTAACCCACTCTTACCTCATAATTTTCTACTATTCCCATTCTTTTCAAAGCCATCAGACGACTAAAACAATAAAATAAAACAAAAAAAATTAATATGGTAAATAACAGTACTGTAATAGGTAGAGTTGTACATGCATATGTTACAGGTTAAAATAATATTAAGGTTTAAATTTTTTAACCTTGGTTGATTCTCATTTTTCTTTGTCGCCTAGCCCTAATTCATCAATAATTAAGGATACGAGACTAGGAGACACAGGAATTAGAGAATCAACTCAGGTTAAAAAAATGTAAACCTGAAATTTAAACCTTATTTTGACCTGTAACATACATACAGATACTGTAGCTCAAGGATCTCATGCAAATAATGCCCATTTTCCAAGGAGACCTAAAATCAAAATTCCTTTATAATAAATTGGAGAGGAACTGGATATCAAAAGCCCAAAATGAACAGTGGCTACAAAATGTAGATTCTTCCTTCAAATTGAGTTTTAGCTGCTTGTGGAACTAAAGGGGGAATTTAGCATAAAATCACAAGGTTCTCAGGGGTTTTTCCAAGGCACCTTCATTAGATGTAAACTGTAGTTCTAACTTTTTATTCTGTACAGCAAACTCTGTCATGGACATGCAAACAAAGCCGACATCTATTCACAGTGGCACGTCCACTGCATGAACTTTCGATCATGATCTGTTACTTTAAGAATGTGAGGATTTTGTGATGAAAACATGCTTGAGGATCAAGTCTTAATGAGCTCCAACAAATAAGCTTCAACACTATCAGCTATTCCCAAATTAGCCATGGACAAGTACATATGTAATAACTTAGTTGTCACTCGGTGAATAACACAAATGCTGTATGACTCCATAAAGTTACTGTAATAATAATAATAATATCAATTAAGTACAGTTATTATAATAGGCTCATTTCATGATACACTGTATGCACAAAAAAAAGCTAAGCTTTATTTCATGAGAATTTAAAACAAATGAAAGATGACAAGATTCTTAAAGTCAAGACCCAAAATATTCATAATTGTCCATAGTTACCTTGCACCTAGCACACATATTAAGTATTTTCATTCATAATATAGTGGTTCATAATAAAGTAGTGGTTTGCTAAGCTCCCTTGACCACCGTACATTTCTATCAAAGCCATCAATTCTTTCTTTTCTTTTATTCTCTTACGGTAAAATTCCGAAAATAAGACCCTCCATGTACAGTATAAGCCCCTCCAAATATAAGCCCCCCAAACCGGTAACGCAAAAACCCTCCGTTAAATTGCCCCTCCAAATATATGCCCCCGGGGGTTTGTACTTGGAAAATTGCCCTCAAATACAAAGTAAAACAAAGCAAAAACAGTATATTTACTTTAAACTATAAGGCTAGTCCAATCGATTTTGAAACGCAAATTTCCGTCCGTAGATAAGCCCCTCCCAATATAAGCCCCTCAAAAAGGGCCTTTGAAAAATATAAGCCTCGGGGCTTATTTTTGGAATTTTACGGTATTTTTTTTAAAATTTTTATTCCTATTTTCCTATATACAATGTAAAGACTATACATGTAAGTGTGAATGAAAAATAAACTGAACTGAAGAAGACTATTATTTTAGAAAATAGACATTATAGAATCTAATACTTTATCAGAAACCACTTGGTGCTCTATCCAAAACACCCTTTGAATAAAATAATTATGCAAATGAGAATTATAAATAACTTGATGAGAGCTACATGTAGTGTTAGATATTGAAATTATCACATTATACATGTAAATGTATGGTAGCAGGTGGATTTACCATCATAATATCTCACCATCAATAACTTACATGTACATGTCATATTGCTGGCATTGGATATTTAACTTAACCTCTACTTAAGGTCAAAATTACAATGTATATTTCAAAATAATTTGGGTTAAATTTCTTTAACCTCAGTTGATTCTATATTTCCTTGGTCTCTTAGCCCTAATGCACGAATAATTAGGGCTAGGGAACAAAGGAAATTGAGAATCAACCTAGGTTGAAAAATTTTAACCTGAATTTTGACCTGTAACATACACATGTAGGTTTCAACATTAGTGTGCCCCATTTTTAGATTGCATTCTAAAACTTTTAAAATAATTTTGTTTACTGAAGATTCTGTCTTTCTCCGTCACATATGCTGCACTTGTATAAAACGTCCCGCATTATTTTTCAAATTGCAGAGACCCACCCTAATGCCAAAGTCTACAAAAAATCTTGCACTATAAACAACTTTTCACTAAAGATGTTGCAATGTAGTTTGGAGGAAAAAACTAAATGAATACACAAGCAGAATAAAGAGTGTACATGAAAACATGGCAAATATATACCCCAGATGTACGCTGAGACGCTGAACTTTTCATGAGCTGAACCTAATATATTGAATTAACTACATGAAAAGTTTGGTGTCTGAATCAGTTAGTAATGCCTGTTTCAATTTTGAACGGCTGAGGTGTTCTTTTCACCTAGCCCAGCTGCGAATTTCACCTTTAGCATGACTTTGGAACAGCTTTGATTCAGACGTCAAACTTTTCATGTACTGTACTTAACGCATAAATTATTATAACGTATTTTGTGAGCATTTTTCGCCTTTTGAACTTAGCTCAGCTGCCATTAAACTCAGTGTCTGAATCAATTCAGCCGGTCTAAATAATTTGGGTCATCCTTAATTCGAATCAGGTTTGGCTCAAGAAAAGTTGGGCATCTGAACCGGGCCTAAGAAATGTCCCAACTGCGATATTCATTGTTCGCAGCGGAAAGATGTGTCCTGAAATGACCAGTATTTGCACATTTTTCGTTCTTTGTTGCTGAACTCACGAGTCAGCATTAGTTTTTTTTCATTGTATTACACTCATCATTTTGCTTGTGCATGTTAGTTTTTTTCCCTGTAGAGTGATGGTCCCCTAAAAGTAACGAAAGCCAAGATGTTTACTATATAACAGTAACATGTTTAGTGTAACATGTATTTCATATTTCAAATAATTATGCTCTGAATCAAACATATGACTACTAGCATTTGAAATGACTTCCATTTTTATTCTTTGAAATCATGCAAGCTTATTTCCCTTCTCACGTATAGGAGGGATTAATCTGGACAGATTCAGTTTAAAAACGCCACCAAGAAAATTAATGATGATCATATAGACAAAACTACGACCAGTAAACTGCAATAAACGCTTTTGCTACCACGGCGAAACACCAGGAATCCTTTAAAAAGAGCAGCTTAAATATGCACCTTTTTATTAATTACAAAAAAGGATAAAAGGATCTTGACATTCAGCATCATAGGCCCATTTTGTAGTTTCTCCTTTATTATCTGGGAATGATTTCTATTCTTTCGAAAACCAAATCTGTTTTTTCCTACCTGTAAGGATTGCTGTCTACGACTTCAGAGCTCATCTCATTGATTTTCTCCCGAACGGGTCCCTTACGTTTTTTCTCCATTTCCAACGCGATCTCCAGCTCCTTTATCTTAGCTTTGAGTTCTTCGATCTTGTCCGCCATTGTTTATATCCACGAACACTTACTGCGAGCTCGCAGATGTTAAATCGCGATTAAAGATCGACCTTTTATCTTCCCCCTTTTCAATTTTTTTCGAACAAAATGGCGTCAATCTCAGCTGCTTTTCTGAAGTAAGCCGCTGACAAGGAAATATATCACCGGCGTCGATGAAATCCTATACTATAATCCGATTGGCTTAGAAATTTTCGCGCGAATATTTGGCTACCATGATGCTTTAATTCATTTCATATTCATAGTTCAGTATTGCTTCGAATCGATTCGCTTGATTATTTCAATTATTGTCAGTTTCATTTGCCAGAACTTTGTTCAAAATGCCTCGAGTTACTCGCAACAGCCAAACGAAAATAGAGTTTCGTGTTCGGAAGACTCGATCGCAACAGAAAGAAAACGTAGGCACTGTTGAAACAAGCGGAAAGCAAACTCCAGCATCGACGACTTCGCCTCGAAAGCGACGCGATGCCACGAAAGGTAAGAGAAAGACCTTCTCTTTGCTTCTTCAGCTAGTTAAATATCAAACATTAAGACTTTATTTGGAAATGTGTCGAATTTACTCAGGGATCTTACTGAAAATAATCGAAAAATTCTAGGCCGAACTTTATCCCTTGGACTTGAAATTTCCCGCGCAAGTTTCACTCCTTGATTCGTTGCAAAATTTGTTAGATCGCTAGTTGAGATTGATCGAAGCACATCTCAAGGATTTTAGATTAGAAAAGCAGCATTTACTCGTAATTTTGGTCCAGAAATGCCAGTTTCTACCTCGATTCTCTTGTACGTACATAGCTAATGAGATTAGATTTTCTACTCATTTGTATGCAAGCGTACATCTTCCAAACACAAAAGGCTTTAAATTGACCCATTCATCACTGAATGAAATTTGTGTTTCGACACTTTCCCAATCGTGTATCCTGCTTTTGCGGTCTCGATTTATTTTCCGTCTGTACCTTTTCATAAACCAAAACTATTATCTGTCCGCGCGGGACCGTGATGTCGAAGAAGTCGGTGTGACTGTCACGCTGCCCTTCATGCAAGGAATGATAGTGTTCTGGCGGTAGAATTTTTCTTCAAACACCGACATATTCTTCGATTGCTAAGTCCTTTTTAAGAAGATCCTGCCACTTAAATGATTTCTTCCCAAATCTGTTTTCAACAGTGGAAACTCAAACTGTTTCTCCAAAGAAGAGAAAGAACAACAGGGGAAAACCCGAAGATGTGGTTTGCAGTGACACAGAAAACTCAGATCCAAAGCAAAAGCTGACATTCGCAAACCAAGATGGTAAGTGGTGCAATTCTATAATACATACAGTGCTGTACTCTAGCAGAGCCCCTGTTGCTCTGAAATACCAATCGCATGCTGGGCACCCTAGATTTTACAGGTGCAGAGCACAGCCTTGATATTACAAAAATAAAAGCCACAGAAAAAAAATCAAAATTTTACCCATAAATTGCATACAAATAACTTTTTTCTATTGAAGCAAGGCTGTTTTGAATTATACTGGTTTGAACCTCTTGTAGGTGACTTGACCCTGTTTTAAGCACTTCCAAGTTTAGTAAATACCTGGTCACTCATTGGGTTAGGAGTAGTAAGAGCTCCCAAAGAGATTTCATTTTAATGGTTTAACAACAAACTAAAAGATTCGTTCACAGATTTAAAATTTAGAATGGTACAATGACTTCCCCATCGCTCACTTCAGAACTGAATAAACAAAAACTTATAAGCCCACCTACCCCTCCCATAAGCCAACATTTTGCCTTAAGAGAGAAGTAAGTGTTAATGTTGGCTTAGGGGAGGGGTAGGTGGGCAGTTTCCCAGCAATGTATAATGATCCAAACTTATAAGCCTGCCAGTATAGTAATTCACCTTCTCTGTGGTTGCCAGAGTCGTCTAGTGTAGCTCAAGAAATTCCCAAATCCTCAAAGAAGAAAATCAACAAGGGAAAGACTACTGATGCAACTGCCACTAGTACCAATAGCCCAGGAGCAAAACAAATACTGTCCCTTGCTCGTCAAGATGGTAAGTAGTGGTATTGATTCCCAGGAGGATAGTTCAAATTTCAGTTGATGTGGATGATCGAGAGAATTTATCTTTCTAATGCCAAAAATGTCAAACAATCAAGGTAATTTAAAACCACCAAGAAGTTCCATCATTATTTTTTAAAATAGCCAAGAGCCGGTATGTGTAGTAAAAGGCTCCAAGTCAGAAGAGATAAGTGATCAACTGCCAACTTCTCGCAACAGCACTTGTATATACATGTAAAAGTGATGGGGATGCATCCCAGGAGCACTTGTGACCAAGTGAAAATAAAATATTGCACTCATAAGGGATTTGCATGCATGACGGAGTCAGAATAGCAAGAATATGTTTGTGACTCCACTCCTTCATGTCTGTATTGGCAAGCAGAAAAGGAAGAATGAGCCAATTACGATGCATGTCATTCTGATTGAACTCTGTGATTGTTTTGTTTTCTTCTTCTTCTGCTAGTGACGCCTCCAAGAATCTTGCATTCTCAGAATAATATTATTGAAATAAAATTGACATCATAATAAATTACTTACTCTTATTTTCAAAGGTCATCAATATTCTAAAGTGAGAAGAGCACTACATTCTTCACACCCTGACAACTTACTATGTCGAGAAAAGGAGATCGCAGAAATCAGATCATTTCTACACAATCATCTGCCAAAAGGAAAACCAGGAAGTTTGTACATTTCAGGGGCACCCGGGACAGGAAAAACAGCTTGCTTGACAAGAATCATGCTTGAAATGAAGGTAAATGAGATGACCATGATAAAAGCAAAGTCTTACTGGTGATGATCAAGGCTTATCATGTACATTTGTTACAAGAACAATACTTGGATGATCATGATAGTGGCAGTGTTGGTGACACTGGCAGATCCAGACCTTCTGATGAGGGGGAGGGGGGGGGGCATCCAGACCCTGAGATAAGGGGGGGGGGGGCGGTCTCCCAAAAAATTTTTTTCGGCCCTTCCGGCCTCAGTTTGGTCTAAAGATAGGGGGGCAGGCCCCCTGGGCCCCTTCCCTGTATCTGCCACTGGGTGATGATAATAATGTACTAGCCCACAAGTCATTTCAACTAGCCCCAAAACCCTTTTTGATTAGCAGGATTGATTACAATCCTTCTGTAATTTGAATTTCCCCAAAACACAGCACTTTAACAAAAATCAGTAGCCCCGGGCCATCGGACTCGAATTTCTTTGCACACTGAAAGTTCCTGGTGTTTATGCAAGACCACTGCACCAGGATACTCCATGTCTTGCAAACCCTTGTGAAACTCTATGGTAATAAAGCTGTATATGGCAATGAAACATGTTGCATCCGGCTACTACATGTAGACCATAATTATATTAGACTTGAAAATTAATACATAGAACACATTGTTTTCTTACCCATTAACAGGCTGAGATAAGAAAATGTCAAGTTATTTTCATAAACTGCATGGCATTAAAGCAAGCACAGGATATTTTCCAGAAAATAGCAGTTGAATTAGTAGGCGAAGAAAATTGTCCCACCAAGGTGACACAAAAATTTTTGGAGGAGGAATTTGCCTCATCAAAACTCACAAGGTAATTCCACTTTCATTGCACTGGCTTGCTATGAACTTAAGCCAAATCTTAATATTTATTATGTAGTTTAGTGTTCTATAACATAACAAGATTGCCTATCACTTGACAAGTATTACATTTGTGGGTCATATGTACATCATGCACCTCACAAAAAACCATTGATAGCTTTACTTAAAAAAAAAACATTTTTGGTAAGAACTCAGTATTTTCCATTTGGATTCTCCAGTCACGATTTTAAGAATGGGAGAGTATCCCTTGAAAAAAATTTTCAGAAAACATGCAAACCTATAGACATTATTTTGTAAGCTGTTGCTTTTGTCATACCTTTGGTAAACAGTCAAAAATAATATTATGTTCGTAATCACAGGCTGATGGTCAGAATGCAAAGGAAATTTTTAATAAAGGAAAACAATATCTTAAGGAAGGGATGGGTTCACAACAACACCAAGAGCACCAGCAACTTGTTAAATATTTGATCTGAACATTACAAAGTCTTGTGCTTTTTAAATAAGTAGAATAAATTATTGGTATTTATTTATTTATTTATTTTTGCAGAATAATAATCTTGGATGAAATGGATCAACTTGAATCCAAAAGCCAAGAAATCCTCTACACCATTTTTGAGTGGCCATCTCTGCCAAAATCAAAGCTTGTTTTAATTGGTAAGTAAAGATCAGCTGATGGAGTATCACCATGAGATTTTATGATCTTTGCGACAATTTGGGCTCCTTAATGTTATATTACCATGCAAAGAAAAAATGCAAGGTCAAAAGAGGTATATAAATATTTGAAATCATGTAAAGGAACTTCTATAGACTGTAAAAAAAACTCAATTATCATGGACGTGGGCAAGGGATGGGTGGGCAACAAGGAATGACTGTACACTGCATTGAGTGAGATGCAAAAGTGGCCATTGTTTCCCTGCAACATGTTCCTGGCAAGTGTCTATATCATGCTGTACATAAAATTTGAAAACCAGCAACTTTCTTTTCTCTAAGGAATAGCAAATGCTCTGGACTTGACAGACAGAATTCTTCCAAGACTACAAGCAAGGCCAAAATGTAAGTATCTGTCATGGTTGACGCAACTTAACTTAATTGCTGGTTTTGCACATGCTGCTTTATTTCATAATAGTGGATTTTAACTGTGCAAGAGTACTATATCTGTTGAGATGTGTATATACGACGTAGTACACAAAATAAAGAAATTGTCAGCAAAGTATCTGCAAATTGGGCTACTCTGAATTTTTACTTCCAGGTAAACCTGAACTTCTTCACTTTGCCCCATATACCAGAGACCAGATTGTTAAAATTATACAGGACAGACTAACAGTGGTAAGTTACAATCATTTGGACATTTTGTTTGGGTAATGGTGTAAGATGGGTGTGTCAGCAAGGAAGGGGGGATGGAGGGGTTGGATTAGAGAGGGAAGGGTGTACACTAGGCTTTACTCCTGACTGGGATGGTACTCCCATATATGGGCTATAAAGGTAATTTTGCTGCTCATCATCAGGATATGCTTTTTGCCTCTGACTCTGGAAAAAGGGAATACAATCCCTGAGTATGGTATTCTTGGTCAAACTTAGGGGCAAAACTACACTTCCCTTGTCGTTTTATCATTGAGCCAGCCATAACAACAGGATTCCTATTTTTATATTAATTATTGTTGGGAACAGGGTCACAAATTTATCTCCTTTAGCCTGAAACAGGTCCAGAGTCTCAGAGACTCAGCGGCACACGCCCATAGTAAATTTAAGGGTGTACTACCCATGTTACGATGCTCAAAAAAAAAAGCATTGGTTTGGTCTAAAATTTCATTTGATTCCAGGTTGAAGAGAGGAGCAGTATTCTGGATACATCAGCAATACAGTTTTGTGCAAGGAAAGTGTCAGCCATGGCTGGGGATATGAGGAAAGCCTTAGATATTTGCAGGTAATACCAGTGATCAGAAACTTAAGCGAACATCATTGTACTCCTTATCATTATCTGACAACTGTTGTTGAATAGTACATACTTGTTTGCCTTGGATTCCTGGGTTTCGAAAGAGACATGTGGAGCAAAGTTTCTTGTCAAAGAAAAGGACTCAAGATCAAAGAGGTGCAGGGGCCAGCTTGAAATTTCCACCTCAATCTGCTCTGGAATATTCCAATAACATCCTAACAATAACATCGTAAGGAGTTTCTCTGATTCCAAAGTATTCCATGTCGTTTTTTTCAGGAGAGCAGTTGAAGTTGTAGAATCTGGAGAAAGGAAACAGCAAATTTTACAGCCTGTCCAAACAGGTACGAAACATTTTCTAGAATGATCGAAAAGTTACATACTACTATACTCACAAATACATTATGTAGCAGGGCTAATCTAGGCAAAGGTTTAGAGCATACTGTAAGATTCATGAAGTCCAGGAAGCTTCAAAATAATTTTTCTATAAACACGACACCCCTAAGTCATTAATTTGTAGTCTACTCATGCACCTATAGAGTGTGATAAAGTACAGCTGTACTGCAGCTGTTTGACTGAGATTTGTCATTGCTTAGCTTTCATGTCAATTTACCAGCAAAGTTAGGAAAAGGTTTCTATGCTGCACTAGTCTTTCCTTTCGATTCTTTCCAGCAAATGAGTTACTGTACTGCTAGCCTGCACCACAGCCAGAAATAAACTTCTGGTTATAAGTCTGTCTGCAAAGGAGCGCTGAAATCCTTGTTCCGGGCCTTTCCCTGTGTGCAAGGATTTGAGCACATGCCATGATTGGCCTGTAAAAAAAGCCATCGTCAACCTGCCAATCAGGTTGAAGGTAAATTTGAACAACCTTTTTGTTAATTTGTTGAGTCTGTTGTGGGCCCTGAGAACAAGGATACCTGTGCTGCTTCACAGAAGTTGACTAACTGGGGTTAGATGTCTTTAATGCAGGCCACTTTTGTACTGCCAGAAGCAGTTTTTCACTATAGTATACTTACAGTGCCCTTAAATTAATATTTCTCTTTAGCTGAATCTGCTCGTAAAAGACCTGAAACTCCACCAAAACCTAAAAAGGTTGGAATTTCCCAAATAGCCAGTGTTGTAGCAGAAGTTTATGGATCTCGTCTGGTGGCAGGACCTGGCGTGGAACAGCCAACTATTCCTCTGCAGCAAAAGCTTCTCATTTGTACCTTCCTATTAATGACAAAAGAACGCAACACCAAAGAGGTTGTGTTAGGAAAGGTAGGTTTTGAATTTCAAGTTACGGTAGCTTCTTTTAGATGCTTACAAACAGAACTGGGATATCTCCTGTGTAATTTCTTATCCGTCGACATTTTGGTATACTATCAGTTGACAGGTCAGCTGACTCTCGTTCAATATGTGCGTCAATATCTGCAGTCGGCACTCGTTGTTTCACAGGAAACAAATAGAAATTACTTGGACTCACCGATGCTCATGTGTGCTTAACACAGGGTATTTTAAGTTTAATAAAGGCCCCACTGCATTTTGGCAGATTTTGAGTAGGTACATAATGTACAAAGTGTTGCCTAGGTCTCAAAATCTTGACTCTCTTTTAGAAGAATTTTGCTATCATAATGATGCCCCATTCAAGAAAATTCCAAATTTTACAATACAGACACATTCAAGAGATTACTTTTATTCCATTGCTGGTACTCAAATGTATGAACACACATGCAAGAGAGGAAAAGGAATTATTTCTATCAAATCCATATTTAATAATGTGAATAATTATTCTGTCTACAGTTTCACGACACTTACTGCAAGATCTGCACCAGGCGGAAAGTTTCCCAGCTTGGCCAAGAAGATTTTCTCGGTTTGTGTAACATACTGGAAACAAGAGGACTTCTTGGAATCAGGAGAGCTAAGGACACAAGAATGATGAAGGTTGGTCTAGATTGACAAGATGCACAAGTCCTTGCTAGTGTAACATTTTTCCTGCAGTTTGTCTCATAATAATGCTAAAAAAATTATGGAAAAAGGTATAGCTTGATTCTACTAAAAGTTTGTATAACAGTGTAAAAAGGTTGAGTGACTTGTTCAATTCAGGACTGGTCACCTGAAACAACTTTTCATGCTATTTTGATTTATATTTTGTCTAAACAAATTTGTGAGGTAATTAGTTGTAGCTATAGGTTGGAAAAGTTGCCATGTGTAAGCAGGCCTTTATTGCCTAATTTTAAT